TAACATATATAAACGCTTTGATCTCTGTTGGACTCTCAGTTTTATAATACAGCTGTCTACCTCACAATAGTATTATTTATATTGTACAGTATACAACTTGCAACAGCCAATCTTGTTCACTTAGTAAAGCTGATGAAGTATGTATGTATGTATGTATGAATTTATGTATGTATGTATGTATGTATGTATGTATGTATGTATGTATGTATGTATGTATGGGTGTATGTGTGTATGTATGTATGTATGTATGTGTGCATGTATGTATGTGCATGTATATAGATCTGTGGCTGGAATTGATTTAAGAATAAAAATAAAACTAAATAAATCAAGAATTCTTGAATCATTGAATATAACAACAGCTTTTAACTGTTTAGTGAGTATTAGAGTGGAGATACATAGTTAAATACACGTTATATTCGACTGGCTATGATGTATGTATTGTCTGTCTTTCCTTGAAATTTTAGTGCCAGTCAAATTGACGACGAGTTATAAAAAAAATCAGCCCAGTGGTGTTAAATTAAACGCTATTGAATTGTTAACCAGTAAGCCTTGCAAGGTCCACTAAAAAGACTACAATAATAGAGTTCACGCTTCAGAAATAGGATTGTTGATTATGTAATTGCATTGCAAGTCAGGTTATGGTGGAACAACGATAAGACGATAATTTTTCTTTTCATAGTTACTTCGTGACTCACTGTTAACAGCATCAAAACTGTATGCCGACGATACAATCTTTGAAGGCAAAAATTCACTTTCGGAATACTTCAAAGAGACTCTACTGTAGTTGCTTGGTTTAAAATTGAAGCTTGCAATTCAATATAAATGATGTCAAACAATAAGTCTAAATTTTACACTCATCGGTTTGGCGAATTACCCTTAACTCTTTGCAAACAACAACAATTCAAACTTGTCATAAAAATCCATCTTTATTCCTAACTAACGAATGATTGAGTACCATCTGGAAATTCAGAGGTAGGAATCTAATTTTGTTGTGGAATCAAACGTTTTTAAAATTCAATAATAAAAATTCAAAAAGCAGTGAAAACCCATAATGGCGCTGTCATCTTTTTGTGTAATTTTCATTGTTTTTTTTTTTATTATTATTGTCATAATATATTTGGGTAGAATTGGCTATTCTAAGCATCATAATAATATGTTCTTGCTGTGACAGCTATGAACCAGCGAGTCCTCACTGGACCTTCAAATAGCTTGTAAAGGAAGCGAGAGTGATGTTACCTTTTCTGCTTTCTTCAATATTCCTTTTGCTAGTTCCAGTGATAACTTATGATTTAGTTTAATGAGAAATATAGATCAATTATGTAATATAATTACTACAGACACACCTGTTGAAACACGTGATGTTAAATGATTTACTAAATGTAATGTATCCATGTCAATTATTTTGGATACCGGCAAATCTATTACTGTACATATGTGATGAATAATCACGAGTTCCATAAAAGTCATCATTTCACTATACAACAGAAGATTCCTCTTTTTCGTAGTGTCTGAGTCTTTTTCTTTCTTCTCTTTTGAAGATCTGTCTTTTGAACAAGATGTTCTATTAAGGAAACAGAAAATGTATGTTCTGAAAAAGTTGGGAGATCTGTGGTTACGAAGATATAAATATAACTAGCGGCTATCTTGAATTTGGCCGTTAGGGTATTATACGTCAGAAATGCTTTGGTACCGGTAATAAAACTCAAGCCTTGGCTATGTTTGAGCATTTAGTTTGTCACTGCAGGCTATAGATATTTCCATTGGCCATTAAACTACCATAGGAGCCAAATTATATGATTTTTGTTAAATTTGATTTCAAAAATTTCAAAATATTCGGTGTCGCTTCATCTAACCTAATCAGCGATATGCCACCCAAATATTAAATAAATAGAATCTGGCCGGTGCTTTCCAGCCAACGTCAAGGTAATAATTTGTACCAAATAGATCTAAGCTATTTCCTTTAAGGCAGATCTTTGTCGACAAATCGCTTGTTTCTATCAGAGGTACACACACACACACACACGAATGTATATCAAAGTGTGTTCAGTGTTTGCAAAAATAAATTTAATGAATTGTATGCGTCGCGGATGGGACAGAATTTGGACATGACATTGAGGAAGGTTTACACATTCTAAAGTTTCTCCTCATCTGAAAAAGATATTAAATTATTTTTTTGTTTAATATTATTACCAGATGATTGTTTGACATGCCTAAATGCTTACCACAAAATCATAACTTTACTCCTATGAACAATAGAATTATGTGCCTTTACGGACGGGACATTCCTGACGTCGCGGACCAATTAGAGAAATACCATACTTTTTAATATAAAAAGGGATAAAAATTATTATCTGACATCAATGCAACATTTTATTTTCAATTTTAACTGAAAATCAATCTTTTAAGCTCAACATAAAAAATATTATAACAATAATACATTGTATAATTATTAATTTACATTATATTTATAAAACTGAATTGAATTTTTCAAATGAAATTTAAACAACATATGCAAATAGATGGGCATCATATTTTTTAGTCATTCATTAGTGTTATGTTTTTATATATATATATAAAAATATGAAAAATTTATAAAAGGTTTATCATTTATATAAACTGTGAGTACAAAGTTGTATTTCTATTTTTAATTATTGTACCTACTATTAACAACTTGTACATTGAAACTAAAACATGATTTTAATATTTAAGCGCTCATAACATTGTAGAAAATTTACTTTATATCTTTGACTATAGTCATGGATTTTAACTCCCTATAAATATTTTTTTAAATAGGAAATTTTATTTGCTTTGCTACATTTTTTACTCTAATGCAGAGCAAAGCAACTTGTATTGTGGTGATGTTGAAGTGTCCCGTCCGCAATACATCTGTCCAGTCCGTAACAAATCTGGCTAGTCCGTAACAATGTATTTTTGAAAATTTCAACATACTTTAATATATCTACTTTGAGAATTAACCAAAATTTGAATAAATAATTGAAAATTAAAATTTAATCCTTACGGACCAAATACTTTGAAATGCCTGTATTATTTTTACCTTAGTTTAGACAAGACATTTCTTAAATTTATCCACCAACCAACGCTCAACTCGCTAGTTTCCGCCTCTTTCCACCTGTTTGCGTTGGAGCTTATAATACATATTAAATGCTGTTGAGTACATTTATATATCCGAGTGGCATTTCTGATGAAATCATTACCATATCAATTCAGTTACGGAAATTGACTTAGTGAGACGCCGCAGTGCTTAGATTGCAGTATTTTCTATTTAGAATATTTACCAGGCAAGCAGAATTATAATATTTATAAGCGCATATATATAGGCCTATATATAGGCCTATATATAACATATACATGTGTATATTTATATATATATATATAAATATATATATATATATATTATATTATATTATATCTAAATTAAAAGGCAAAATATTTAAAAAAACAAAAATGCTGTGGAAAGCAATGGTTGGATACATATTTGTGACCCAAGCTCACAAAAGGGCTGTAAACTCGCACTGCACTGTATTGAGAAACAAGCTTCAGTAGCCAGAATAGGGCGTACAACGTGAATTTTGTGTGAATTGGGTTTTTGTGTAGTAAACAAAGTATAACATTTAATCTTACTATTCCTGAAGTTTGAGTTTAAAATTCAAATTGTAAGAGGTAAAATTTAGCCATTTTCGGATGGGAGCTAGTGAAAAATGAATAGAAACTTGCCGAAAATAAAAGCTTTTTTCTCAAAACTTGATTTAAGATAGTTGATAAGATGACAATTATTTAAATGGTCATAACTTTGCTTAAATGACTCATAGTTGCTCCATGTCACCATGCCAGCACCGTATATGCCTGTACAAATAAAGGCGCTATTCAAAGAATTAAGTATATCAATCAATAAATCAACTTTACTGATCTAACCAAAAACAAACTAAACATAATTGGACAGCATAGAATATAGAAACCAATGGAATCTCTTATGCCGAAGGTATTTTAACAAATTTGGCAGTTGTGTGGAGTACCGTATGTCAAAATCTAATGCTTCCAAGGGAGATGAATTTTTCTTCATTAGAGAGATGGTCGAAGTTTATTTCCCTAAACATCACCTAAATAAAGTATAACATTTAATCTTACTATTCCTGAAGTTTGAGTTTAAAATTCAAATTGTAAGAGGTAAAATTTAGCCATTTTCGGATGGGAGCTAGTGAAAAATGAATAGAAACTTGCCGAAAATAAAAGCTTTTTTCTCAAAACTTGATTTAAGATAGTTGATAAGATGACAATTATTCAAATGGTCATAACTTTGCTTCCATACACCCGATTGAGTTCATTTAACTGTCCTTTTAAAGTAAATGATATGTTCTATGCCATTATAACAAAAACTCATTTTGGACTGAGGACGAGTTTACAGCCCGTTTGTGAGCTTGGTTGGGTCACATTTGATAAGCAGTAGCTATAAAGTAAACGTAAATAAACAGCCAGAACACCCGGTTCTCGATCTTACCTGATAGATATGATAAGTGTCAGTTTCGGTGACATCACCATTCATGATGGAGTCACCAAACCTGATTAGGGGATTCTTATCAGATGATTGATGACTGGTGCTGTCCCCAGTATAGAAGTGTATCAGCATTTTATTTGTCACCAAAACTGATCACATTTTGGTAGAATCGGCTGGGCGAGAATGGCTAGAAACAACAAGCTATTAAGGGAGCAGCTTAGCTCAGTAGTCTAATCTGGTGGTAGCCACTGTGTTTGCGCTGAACCGTGGAGATCTGTAGGTCCCCGGTTCAATTGCAATCGCTGCCTCTCCTTGTGTTTTAGCTGGAAATAAAAGTTACAATTAGCGCACCGTCTTTCGGATAAGACGTTTAAGCCGTTGGTCCCGTGTGCATTTATGGCCCATGTGCACATTAAAGAACGCAGTACACTCCTCGGAAAAGAGTAGGGGGTTCTCTCTCGGTGTACTCCAATCCACCAGAAGGACCACCTACTGGAAATAAGCCTTCTTCTAGACTTTCGTGGGCTATCCTTGGTGTTTACAACAATTTAATCCAATCCAATCCAATCCAATCCATGGGGATAGGGCTAGAAGAAAATGGCAGTGAGAGTTAACAAACAACGTGAATAAAGATTAAACAAAAAAATTCAAAACTAAAACTATAAAAATAAAATTTAAAACTATATATAATATATATATATATAAAAACAAGTAGGTAAATAATAATATGAGCACTGCTATTTATCTACTTGTTTATATATATATATATCATTATATATATATATATATATATATTAATCTATTTGTTTCTATTGTGTTTACCGTGCTACGCAGCAACCTTGATTTGAATAGAATTTACTGTGATGTTCTAGCTGCGACCTATAAGCATTCCAGCTTAACCACAACTTCATAAAGTAGAGGAATCTGCGAGTGCGAAAAAAAAAAAACTTGCCACAACTAATTTTGTAGTACACATTCTTGCGAACAGCCAGTACGCTCGAATGCTACGTCTCCGATTTAATTCCATCATCAGTTAACAACTGTATAGATGACAATTTCTGACAAGTTTTTCATTGCATAATACCACTAGCGTAAAACAATTTCCCGCTCACACTCTCTCTTGTGTTTCTGTTGTTGAAGTATTTCTTGAAGACATAGACTTTTTTTATAATTAAATTTTAATGGTAATTTTAGGGTTTTTCACACTGCTTCACTAGAAAACTTGCTCGTATTTTTAGTTGGAAAATGACTCATAGTTGCTCCATGTCACCATGCCAGCACCGTATATGCCTGTACAAATAAAGGCGCTATTCAAAGAATTAAGTATATCAATCAATAAATCAACTTTACTGATCTAACCAAAAACAAACTAAACATAATTGGACAGCATAGAATATAGAAACCAATGGAATCTCTTATGCCGAAGGTATTTTAACAAATTTGGCAGTTGTGTGGAGTACCGTATGTCAAAATCTAATGCTTCCAAGGGAGATGAATTTTTCTTCATTAGAGAGATGGTCGAAGTTTATTTCCCTAAACATCACCTCTCCATAATTATAGTTTACTGCAATGGAGAAGAAACATTGATTATGAATACAGCAAAGCCCATGTGGTTTGACGATGCTTGCCTGATGATGCTGGCAACTCTGACAATATTTACGTCATTCCTATTTGATAACGACATGACAATGTTCATGCGAGGGGTGCTCATGCGTTGCTTATGATGGTGACCGCGTGATTATCAAATAATTCGTAGCGACATACTCCAATACTAAATTATCAGTTCTCTGGATTTGATCGTCAGTTTGTTTGTTAACAATGGACATAAATCTAAGGCTTGTCAGCTTGATGAACACAACTTTGTCATATTTCACTCGTCGATGATAATGAAATCGTTTGTTAATGGTTGAAAAGAACACATGCAGTTCTGTGAAAAATTACCGAGATGGACAAGGGATGCTTATCTGAGGAGCAACGACTGGTCAACTTTCATGTTACATTGAGCATTCTTTCATTAGAGTCTCACAAGTCTACCTCATAATTCAATGACCACATAATCATCCACTGATGCGTTTTGAAAATAAAATTAAACATAATCTGCATTCCACCCTTTGATTGGGCAAAATGAAACGCGTACTATTCAGTCCTTTACCATAATTATGCTGATAAAAAGTCTACTACTATTACTGCATTGCCTTACCTTCTTCATTACAGGTACTATCCAGGTAATTGTTGGTTTTGTGAATGTCATCGAAGTTTGCCTTGCTTACTACCCCCTGTTACTCTGCCTATCAACACCTGCTCTGGTGCTTGGCAACTTTCTTGGATTTCTGTACACGTTAAACTGGTAAGAGATTACAAACTTGTAAAAAATACTAGATTTCAATATCCTGACGAAGTAATCAATTGATCAAATGTTTAATAACTGTGTAATACGATATTAACCCATTCAGTTCACTATAATATAGTGTAAGATAGGAGGAGTAACCTTATTGATAAAGATGTATTGTTAATAACCTGAATCTGTCAAAACAAATTAGGAACAAACATGTTGACTTGCTGACCCACGCTGTCGGATTTTTATTTTCGTCATTTTAATCGGTGTTGCCTTTTTCCAATCTATAAATAAAATGTGCAGCTTCAGATCTGATCCATTTTTCCCGATAGCAATGACCTGTTTACCCCTTCAGTCTACACACATAAAGTACGATAGCATAGAATCTGGCATTTTTTGTTTTTTATTTATTTATTTATTTTTTTGAAAAACTCTATTGATTCTTCTCAGCCCTCGAAAGGTCATTGTGATTTCTTCGTGTATAAATAACAATTGAACATTTAATACTTTTTAGGAGTCTCTCCTTTCTTGGTATCAATAAAACTGTATGGTTTGGTTAGATTAATATCTGTCGTGTAATGATGCAACAGGTTCAATTGTCTATACATCCCAGTAAGTGAACCTATATTGTATGGTCACACCATGTATCAAACACTACGGTATGCTCCGTGTTTTTCTTCCCTTTGAATTCTGCGACGATATAGGAAATGTGTTGAGTTACCAAAGGTCTACATGTTTGGTACTGTATTCATTTGCAAACGAATCCCCTATCTTATGTCAAACTTTCAAGAAATCATCAACAATTTGACTATGAAAGTAAACAAGCAGAAAAACCGAATAATGTCTCTAGAAGAAGAAAATAAAAAACAATGATGACAGTTAAAAGTAATACCGTACCACTATGCATATAAGGAAGCAACACAACATATATGGAACTGATGAACGAGATTGAACTTGAAAAAGAAATTTCCAGGGAAGTACATAACTTTATTATAGGAGGTTCTATTTTGAGAGATAGGCCTATCAGTGAAAGAGGATTAGAACAAACGACAGTCAAATGTTTGCGTGGTAAAAACGTACTCGATATGCAGTCACGCATACGAGAACTGGAGGTTGACAATTTAATATCTATCATTTTGCAAGGGAGCACTAATGATTGCTGTTCCTCTGTAGATACCGAGCTAGCTGAACACGTTTAAATTGAAATTATAGATGAAATCAAATGTAGGACACCTAATATGCAACTAGCGATATCTATTATTTGCCCACGATCAGATGATATCTCTAACCAAGATCATGTTAATACACTCAATACCAAACTCAGGAATATTGCAAAAGACAATGACTGTATCTTAGTAGATAACAATAATAATTTCAAAATGCGGGATGAATCCATACACAACACAACATCGTTACCTGATGGGTTACACTTAACTAAGCTGGGAACGAAACGATTGCTTATAAATTATGATAAGAATATATGGATCGTGAGGAATAACCGCAATTTATCTGTAGAACATGGAAACAAATCAACTAGACGAAATCACCACCACCAACCAAATCACAAATTTTACAGGCATAAATGATACTTATCGACCAGTCGATAAGTTGAAACGCAACACGTTGCGTCATCGTGATGAAAACATATATATTAAAAAATCAAGGGAATGCTCTTATTGTGGAGAAATCAACCATATGAACTACAGTTGTAAGTATATCAAGCCTATAATATGTGTATATACTTGCAATAAACCGGGCCACAAGCAGCAACACTACAGTAATAGGCACAGAGATCGTTTGCGAAAAGCTGGAGAAGAAGAACGTGCTGAAAATACACATAGCCCTTTAAAACAATATAATATAGATAAACTATAAACTATTACAATAATATTTATTCAAATATGTATATGCTTATGACACATGCCTATTAGGAATGTATCTAACTATAGACTTATTGTCAAAGATGCTGCTGCTGAGATGACAATGACGTAAACGATGATGAGGGTTCTGATGATGATAACTATAATGACTTACTTGAATCAAACATACATTGATTCTTTATATAAAATAAATTGATACAAAAGATTGTGATTTAATTCTCATAAAAAATGTGATAGTGGAGGAGTGATATTTTATGTCAAGGAAGGAATCCCATTTGTTCAAAAAGGGGAATTCAATATTAACTTAATGAAGATAAAGAGCAAAATTTGTTAGGGGACATTAAGGTATTGATTATAAACTTGATATAAATCAATATGAGAATATGTTTGAAATGGTTAAGGAAAAACAAGGATCACACATTAGTCAGCAACTTTTATCGATTTAATTTTATCTGAACGCCAGGTACTTAATGGAAATTCTCATATGTCGCTAAGTGATCATTCTCTAGTATACTTGCGTAGAATATAAAAATACAGATGGTCAACATAAAAAAAAATGTCGAGGACTTTGATGCAGGGTCCTCTGTTCAAGAATTACTTGAAAATTTATATGGATCAAATGGAAAGATTCCTTCCTAGACATAAGTAATAGAAATTCTGCCTGTAGAACCATGAGTTAAAAACAGATTATCATCCTGGATAACACATGCAATTATTCACCTGATGTACCAAAGAAATCATGCAAAGAAACTGTCAGACAGATTATTTTGATGATATTTAACGAAAGCACATAGATAATCCCAAAAGATTATGGGATGATGAAGAAACTAAAAAAATAAACAAAAATATTACTAATTCAAATATCGACTGTAACGATTTTAATGAATATTTTACAAATATTGGAAAGAGAATGTACCTGAATCAATCGATAACCCCAAAAATAACTGTAAAAAAATCCTGAATGCAGATATGTATTTTCGTTTAAGAAAACCGAAAAACAAAAATCCGAAAAAAGCATTTTCGGATTTATCTGACAGTATACTAGCAATGATATAATTTCTTTTGATAGCAAACTGTTAACAATTTCATCAGCATGTCCGATTCACTATGTAAGATATATAATATGTCGTTAATGAATGGAGAGATTCCAGAGAATTGGAAGATAGCTAGGATTATGGCATTTGAGTCTGGGGTAATACCAGCCATAAAAATTAAATAATAGTTCACAGATTGCAAAAGTGAGCAGCACGCATACTCACAAATATCTTTAATCATCACACAATACATGGAGAGGAAATAATCCAAAATTGTTCATGGAAAGTATTTGAAAAACGACGTGATTATAATATTCCATGTTTAATGTTTAATTTTTTAAACGGCACTGCGCCTTCTACACTTTGTAATTAAATAGAAATGGTGTTTTATCGACATATATACATTAAAAGAATTAACCAATTATTTTTATTTCAAATTAAACTATGAGAATATAACATATAATTAATACAATCCAAATTAAGATACCGCTTTTAAAATACTCTTAAGTGTACAGCTCTTATACTTCTATACAATGGTATGACTAAGCTGCTTATATTTCTGAAAACAATTTTTGATAATCGTTTTACTATTGAATTTTATTATTTTAATATTTGATTGAATGTATCATTAACTGTATTACCCTACCTTGTGATCTTAACTTTGTCGATGTATTTTAACAAACTTCAATGCATTTTGTGTTGCAGATTAGGCTTTTATCATTTTTTTTTAAAATTAAGTCTCTTCTCAAAATGTATTAATTTAAAATTAGGACCATTTTAAAAACAGACTGTTATATCTTGTCTGAAATTATATCCTGTATAAATATGTTTTAAATTTAAATAAATTTAAAATCTATTTCTATCAGATTTATCTCTGAATTTGAGCAATTTTAGATTTTCTACAGAATTGTATCTACTACAATAGCTTGTCCAATATCAGTTTTTAAAATCGATCTAAAAATCTATACAAAACTATCTCAGACTATACTAATCTGATCCAATCTCAGCTTTTCATTGCTATAATAATCAGTCCAATCCCAGTCCCAATGCAAATCTGCCCAATCCAGTTTCTCCAAGTTCATTTCTAATACCATACTCTGCTCGGAAAATATTTAATCTCATAAAAAAATGTTCCATTCCAGTCTAATACTAAAAATTTCCACATTCAGGCCCAGTAATCTGTCAAATCCCAGCCTTAATACCAATCAATCTAATCGTAGCCCTAATACTCCCCCTCTTATAATCTGTCAAAATTTCACTGGCCCTAAGCTATCCGATTTTAATGCTAATCTGCCAAATACCAGCTCTATAGTATTAGGCTGAACATCAAGAATGTAAGTATTGGTCCCTTAATCTAATTCTGACAATATTTTCAAGCTAAATTCCATTTCAATTTTTCCTTTAATTTACGTTTATTTTATTTGTATTGTTTTGCTGTTTAGGATGTTTTTCTACCTTATACGTTTTATAGACTGCCCTGTTGGCACTGGGGTAAGACAATTTTGAAGTATCATTTTTATTTAAAATCGCAGTAAGACAAAGTAATATAAACGAAAGCCCATTTGGCTTGTGTAAAAATCCTTAGTCCTGTTGCCACTTGTTTTCAATCTTGTTGGACGATGTTTGATTGATTTTCATTGTTACCATTAACTATTGATTGGATTGGAACGATCGTTATTAATACATAACACTACTGATGATTATTTTGGTTCATACAGTGACCTTGACATATTAAGGATAGTGTAATGTAATCTATCCTTATCCTTATTTTAAAGGTCCTTGGTAATTTCAATGCGGAAGTGCTCGGTCCGATATATTTCTGTTATTGTATACTTCTCTTACGGTTTGCATATGGGTTTGGAAATGCTGTAGGAAATTGGTATCGCACGTCGTATAAGGACACGAGGGTAAGGAATAACAATGTTGGCAGTGCATTCATATTACTAATAATAGTGTGTGCATTCACGCAAGTTACAAACATAATGCGTAGTCACGCAATTTACAAATATATAGCCTAGTACGTGCAGTAAAGAAATTTACCCATGTTGGAATGTAGGCACGCAAATTACCAATATATTGCTTGTACTCATGCAATCCGGCTATCATCTCAATAAAACTACAGTAATCAATAGGGCAATGGCTGGCTTTCATAAAGCAATTTCTCTTTATACAACTTTTGGTAACAGTCAGAATCACGTTAAAAGCAATCACGCAAATTACTGATAATCATCACGCAATTATGTACCACCAATTTTCCTATTCACTAATTTACCTAGAATATGTAATTTACCCAATTGCAATACATTTATTTATAGTCATGCAACTTGACTACAGTAGTCATACGTACCTGTCTAATCACGTATTCAATACACTGACATGTAGGTCTAATCACGCAGAGTACTGATGACAATTAACATTATGGCTAATTATTTCATTACCGTCTTTCCACAGTGTTGGATTAGAGCCTACCAACCTGGAAGATAACCCGTTTGATCCTGGGGCTATAGCTTCATGGTTTAACTTAAGAAGATATCAAATCCAAATTCAATCGCTTTTTATTTCCACACAAATTTCATAAATGTACATCAATACATGGTTTTTTGTCAATAAGTGAAGTTTAGTGTGGAGAGAACGAAGTTGAATATATAGGCCTAAGTAAAATACAATGTAGGATTTTTTGTTGATTTTGATCGATATAGACCAACGAGACAGTAACTAGTACAATTTCGAGATTTACGGTACAAAAATACATCAAGCTTCGTTCTGCTTATTTTCAGATAGGTAACACATCACTATCTAGTAGCAGCTCGGACGTTACAGTCACTCAGGTAACTGATATGAATAAATGTCTATTCTTTTGACTGGATTTCATTGTTTCTATATAATTTATGTTGCTTCTAACTATATACAGTACTCTTAATAAACAAAAAGTTCATTGATCGTTTGTTCTTTAAATATTGTTTATTGGGGTTGTTTATATCGGCAAACTAATGTCGTTCTTATATAGTGCTTAATGCCTTTTACAAAGCCTCGAAGCGCTGCACATTACTACCCCGGTCATTGGTTTAAACACATGGAACACATTGAACGCCAAATTAAATTATTTAATTAAATTATATTATTATTCCATAATATTGCTAGTAATCAGTGCAGTTGTGTTGGAGCCTACCTGGTACCCAATTGTACTCCTGGGTGGAGACAGGACACAGGCGGTTTCGAACCCCCGATTGGGAGTCCAAGCCACAACCGATGCGCCAACCGCTGTTATAGTAGTTGCTTCGTCCACTCAATTTGCATACTTTGTTGTTGTAGGACCTCCCCCATTATTTCCTTTGTATATTATAGACGCTTCTTATTCTTTTGTAGTCTCCTGATGAAGTCCACTGTGCGGATATTTTCTATTCTACCGATTCATAAACCACTTTTGCTTATCTTGCTGTTTCATCCTTATCGCTTCGTGTCTCATCATCCTGTCTTGTTCACACTCCTCTCATCTTCTTGTACACCACCTTGTTGTCTACACCATCCATTTATGTCTTTCACTCTCAGCTTCCATTTAACACTTTTTACCTAACGGGTTATGTCTACAAAATGCCTTTTTTAAAATATTATCAACAATGTTCCAAACGGCGCACCATACACCGTATTCCCCTAACAATTCTTTGTTAATCTCTTCTCTAAATTGCCACTTTAACTACTTAGGATCAAGGTTTTAAACGAAAGATGTAAAGTTTAACAATTTTGTTAAAAAATGAAATTTTAGCACATCGTACCTAACTTTGCTGATGATTCTCCGGCGCTGATTATTCATTACAAATTTTACTTTCAGTAAAATCAATACTAGCCCAATTATGACAGAGTGAGGACAGACCTCATTGTAATTACCTAATAAGAACGCCACCATCATCTTCTAATCCGTATAGGCCTACTTTACTATTATGCGCTCAGGCATCCAACCAATAAGGATCTTTGATATCCAGTTAAATTCCTTCACTTTACCTTGAGGGACTAAGAAAAGGAACATAGTATAGGCCTAGGTCTTTTCGAAAAAAAAATATTGAGGCAGATGATCCGGTTTGAACTAAGTTGTATTTTAGGATTCTGTGCAGGGAATATAAAGTCGAGAATCGTTAATATTTCGACGGTAGAAAACACGTTGACCGACTATAAACAGTTACACAAATAGCCTATTTGTGATATTTGAAAATTAGCAAAGGAGACTGCTCCAGCATGATTCTTCGATAACATAAAGACATAAAAACGTTGCAATATTATTTTACTTCTCGACAACCAACCACAGGTAAACCGCGTATACACTTCCAATTAGACTAGATAATGACTTTTTTCAGCAATCGCCCAACCGAAATTTAACAGTGGATTTTCAAAAAGTTAAATCACTGAAACAAGACTGTTATCAAAGGAGATTTATCGTTGAAAGATTTCCAGGGCAACGGTGGGTGAGTAGTACAAAAGGCTGTAATGTAACAATAAGTATACGAGGATTTTTGCAAATCTAACTCATGAACCATAAAGTAAGCGCACTAATCGGGAAGCGAAATAATTTATGCCACTGCTGACCTCAAATAAAGCGCTGAAACCATCGATTTCTGATATCGTCTTTTTCTGAAATATTTAAAAAATGCCAGTTAGAATACTGAAAACGTTACAAACTTATCAGTCCTTACTAACGGGATACATTTTCTCTGCAAAGTAAGTCTGTAGTTTGTTCTGAAAATGTGTATTATTGTTTGTAATGAGGGCTCTTGAAATATTAAGGAAGAATTTTTAGTATGATAATGAACATAATAGATAACATTATTTCTGTCCTACAATTTTAGATAGAGGACAATGACCCGATCTTCTGCGCATTCAAAAAAACTCACTATTACCAATACGTTCTGGCACTGATGAAACCAACCCAGTAAGTACGCTCTTCTTTTATTATCAATCATTTTTGGCTTAATTACTATGAAAGTAGGTCTATAGTATCATTGGTTAAGTTCAAGGAGCATTTTGAGGAATCATAATATATATTTCAAGTGGTTTAACCTTCTTGTCTATAAAATATCCCTCCTCGAGTTTTGTTCGCGCTTGTTTACAAACTCAATCTTTCATTTTAACCTATATAATTCCAATGTAAGAGCATTCAATTAATTCAAACATGTTGCTGATTTTTGTTTCTGTTTTAAAAAAAAAAAGGTTAATTAATATTTGATGTGGATGAATCTTTCTATTTCGTTAGTATACCGTAAACATATTAATTATAAACTTGAAAAATAGTCCAAGGATATGTTGATAGTATAATATTATTTCGTATTATATTTATGGTATGTCATTTTCATAAGTACCGTAGTTATTGTCATCTTTATTGATAATTTTAGAAAGAATGAAAGTCGATGCAGAAGATACCTTTCGAAAGTGTACAAGGTCGTCCCTCGTAAGTAGCGTGAAAGCTCATTCTTTATATTATGTTTACCATTAAGTCCTTAGTTTGTTTCTTAAAATGTGTTGTATTTTTCATCAATTCACGTCCGTTTGGGTCCATTATCAAGGACTTTAGTTCGAAAGATCTGCCTATTTGTTTACTCATAAAGTACGAGAAGGTATCCTTACGTTTTATCAAAGCTGAACAGGCTTATAATTTCTTACATAATTGTAAAACCTTCGGCGTTTTTCCGAAATTCATATAATATTGTTGTTGTTGTTGTTATTATCATCATCATCATCATCATCATCATCATCATCATCATCATCATCATCATCATTATTATTATTATTATTATTATTATTATTATTATTATTATTATTATTATTATTATTATTATTGCATTCAGAAATCTAAACACAATATTTCGAAAAGTACATTGGATGATTATGAAGATATACCAAAGATCTAATAATAACAAGATAGCGTTCTCCGCGGTTTGCGTGTAACAAATGGAAGCGTTCCAATACAATACCAATACATAGTGCAGTAATTTAATTGAGAGAGGGCGTCCTAGTTGTTACGATACGATACGATTTATTGGGTTCACTTTTAGATCAGTGGCACCCATCTCTTAGATGGTGCACCCATTAACAATATAAAATATAAGCAAAGAAAAGCAAAAGACAGTTCAAAAACAACAATGGCGGTTGTTCCAGAATTAACACGGAGATCATACATGTCAATTGCAAGAGGGCGTCTTACACTGCGTTATTACATAATTTGAACGCAGAAATTGTGGAGAACGCTATCTTGTTATTATAAGATCTCTGAGATATACCAACAGAATAAGATAACACTAAATGGGAACCTAATAAACTTTTCCAAAGTGTCAGTCAAATGACTGACCATTCAAATCAGGGCCAGGACTACGTAGGCCTACGTATACTACAAGTTTACGTACGTTGTCGCTGTCGTTTTTATGGCTAGCTAATAATTTTACGTTATAATGATATTATTAACATTGCAGTTTAGTATTCAAAAAGCTGTTTGTAGAACCACTGATAGACATAATTTCTGACTATATAACGATGCAATGGTTACTGCAACGTAAACACAACGCTCATAACTTCCGCGAATGTTATAATAAAATGTTGTGTTTGCTAAATGTGACATCAGCAATTAGATCTTAAAAAAAAGGGGGGGGGGGCTTAGCGAACATTTTCAATAAACGAAATGGTTATAAGCAATAGGCGCTAAGCAGTGAAACGAACTTATTCAGTATTGCTCATGTTAAACCACATTCCAAAAGTATTCGAATCCTACCATAGAACCTTTTATTATCCTGGTTTCGACAAACGTAGCTAACATTTAATTTGGAAAGGATAATTGCATCTCTTCTTTCCAGACTTCAAGTATTCTACACGGTTCATCAGCACATTTGTGTTATCTGTAATAACACTGTATCAGGTAGGCTATATGTCCGTTGATGCACAATTTAGCACACAGGTAGTTTTTTGACAGGTATTTATGTCGGTTAAGTTATTATTATCAGCATATTATTGATAAAATCACTAGACCTATATTATTAGGCCATTTATTATATTGTAACTGTCTCTTATACACATCTAGATGTGAATAAGAGACAGCGTACCTAACTTTGCTGATGATTCTACAGTAACACTGATACTCAGCACTCTCCTACAACGCCTTAACAATACGTAACATTTTGTATAATTTCCGAAAAAACCAAATAGACCAAAATCCCACAAACACAATATTTGGCAGATTTATTAGAAGGGGTTCTTTAACCTTTGCCCCTGGATGCCCCACTATGGAGGTTTGACCAGTTATGTAATGCCTGTGTTTTCTAGGGAAACGCTTACTTCTTCCATGTCCAAATGAGTCCCTGAAAGGCAATGGGCCCCTACTTACTGCTACCGAGCAATCTAATAATACAACCGCTTTTGACAAAATATTTTCTTTTAATTTAAAAAAAAAATGTATGAGCCCCGAACGGCTGCATAACTACCCACCTTAAAGTTCGCCTCCGACTTTAAACATGTCAGTAAATAAAGAATAAAATACATGGTCTGTCTCTTATACACATCTAGATGTGTATAAGAGACAGTATATATACTTCTTAAAGTCATGTATCATGCATAGGAACGTTGACGCCTGCAAGGCTCTGGTTATATCTTTTTTTAACAACAAACCACCAATAATAAAATATAATCATAAAAACAAGTACTTAAGATGTTTAGAAAAAGTTAATAGAATAATTCTTTTTTTATCACACTATATATCATTATTTTATTATAACATACTTTTATTTAATATAATATTGATGAAATAAATATATAGATATATACATATTATTATTTCAAAAATATTTTTGTTAAGTTCTCTTTACCTTTTTTCTCTCTCTAGTGAGAATTTTACCCACCTTTATTACTTTATCTGTTGCTTTCCTAATTTTTGAATAAATGTTTTCTTGAAATATAAACAATATAAACATAGGCCTATGTAAACATACAAAAAGATGCATCTAAAAATGGATGCATATCTGCATTCGGATTGTTTGCGATGTCACTTGAGTTTTGAGCCTTTATCTTTCTTTTCCAGCTCAAAGGGATTGCTTTTTTAATTATGAAAAATTCAGATAACCCATTATAATAATAACTTTATTTAAAAAGGACGCTTTTAAAACAGCGACACACACTCTTGTGGTGCGTTCGTAAAAGTAACATACATACAATACAATACAGATACAATATAAGATAAGACTTAATACAATAAAAATATTAAGATTTGTAAAAAAATTGAGTATTTACACCTGTCATCACCTAAAACGCTCATTAAAAATATTAGTGAAGGTTGTAAAAATATTTAAAACGATAGATTATGAAACAAAATAGATAATAAAAATGATTCATGTTTATCGGTGGCAATTTTTCTTCTGCTGTATTTCATTTACTATTATTTTTTTTCTATTTAAAAAAATTATTGTCTTTATTGTATTATTTTTATCTGTTTTATTTACTTATTTTATCAATTTTTATGGTGATTATAATATAATAAGCCTGTAATCTAATTCACCGTGACAGTTTTTATTGTACATGATTTTTTTTTTCGTTTATTTTGATTTATTTTCATCATTCGAAATTTTGTTATATGCTATATTTTCATTTCACTTTTATTATGTTCATTGTCTGTTATTTTTATCTTTTTATTTTTAATTCTATATAGATTTAAAAAGACAAAAAGACAAAAGAAACCATCAATCATTTTGTATTTTGATTGTACTAGATTAACATTAAAAATTGAATATTTTACCAACTTAAAGAGGAGCTATACAACAAGGATTTACATATATTTTAGGAATTACTAACATCAAGCTCCCCTGAACTGAAATACTATCTTTTCTTTGATGATTTAGAAATCCATTACGAATATCAAATTTTAACAACAAAAATATACTCCGTTAATTATTATTGCGAGTAAAGTTGTAAATAATTGTAAATTATTTTTAACAACTGCATGGAAAGAACGAAACGAAATACGTATATAATACTTTTCTATTGCATGACCAATAGGCCTGTGGTTTGTTTGTTTTTTTTTTTTTGGCTTTTTTTTTTAGATTAATGTTATTGATTTAAATATACAATACTTACTCTTATAATTTTTTTTAATATTTACTTCATTTATTTTTATTATAGACTAGTAAAAAAAATTAAAAAGAGGCCTAGAAATCAAGTTAGGGGGAGTGGAATGTTAGAAGCAGTCAACATAGCCAGATATCCTAATTAATTCCTTCTGATCACCCTGACACTTGAATTTTCGTCTAGTATACAAATGGCGGCCATTTTACAAAATGACATATAAAAACTACTGTCACTCAAACCAGAACGGAACATAATTAAAAAATAGGTGTTTATTTGTTTTAAAATAACCGCAAAATATACTTAAAATGTGCATAAAACAAGAATAAGTATATAATATAAGTTACTAGTACAGTTTCTATGTAGTCTAGATAGATTTTTGTGCAGCTCTTCCGATGCTGATTAATGTGTTGCAGGTTACCTATCAGAAACGGTGTAGTGTTTCATATATTGTCCCCTAAGTCCAATTATGGCATATCATATTAAACAGGACCCATTTGCGTAACTCATGAGCTATCGGGTTTGGGGGGTGGGGGGAGCACGCCTACTACTAACTAGCACATAACTACCAAGCCTTAAGGAACACATGTGCTTTCTGGGCGAAGTCCGAGTCCAAATGTGCCCTCGGAGTGGCCACTACTTATACTTACAGTACTATTGATACTCAGCACTGTCCTACAGCGCCTTAACAATACGCAACCTTTCCTAAAATTTCCGGAAAAACCCAAAATAGTCCAAAATAACACAAACACATTTTCTGGAAGATTTATTAGAAGGGGTTCTTTCAACTAGCCCCAGGATACCCCACTATGGAGGTTTGGCCAGTATTGTAATGCCTGTGTGCCCAAATGAGTCCCGAAAAGGCGATGGGCCCCTACTTACTACTACTGAGCAATCTAATAATACAATGCTTTTGACAAAATATTTTCTTTTAATTTTTTCAAAAATGTACGAGCCGGCCCCGGACGACTGCATCCCTACTCACCTTAAAATCCGCCTCCGACTTTAAACATGTAAATAAATAAAGAATAAAATACATGGTTATCCATCATAGTAGGCATATTATTAAATATTATACACAGCATGTTCAAGTCGATTAAAATAATGTTATGATTATTCGGATAATGAACGCCTGCAACATCATCAATTGGACCTTAAAGGACAATGGTCATTTTATTCAGATTGGTCTTATGTTTCAGAGCAACATAAATCAAATTGACACTTTATTAAAAACAATCAATGAATTTTGTTACTCAAACGTCTTTACATTGATATTTTCAAGCTTATTAGATGAACTGAAGAAAAGGTGATCCGGAAGTAGTAGGTTTACTGTAAAATATATTATGGCGAAAGTAAATATTTGTCCGTCTCTGAATTTTGATAGTGTTTCTGTAATAGAGCCTAAATTGGAATGGTACCTTATAGATTTATAGCCAGGGAGCAGAGCAGCTTAGTTCAGTTGCTAAACTGGTGGTAGCCTATGTGTGTGCTGAAACGTGGGGATCTCTAGGTCTCCGATTCAAATCAAATTAAACCATTCTTTATTGCACCACTCAAAATGGGTTGAATTTTACAAAAGGGTTCAAGCAGGAAAATTTAAACAATCAACATTTAAAAAATTTTCAACAAAAAGGACCCACATCACAATAACAGCAAAAGAAAACAGGTTTAATAGGCAAAAAGGCAACCAATATTAAAATATTATTATTATTATTATTATTATTATTATTATTATTATTATTATTATTATTATTATTATTATTATTTAATGGGGGCCCTGTCGGCCTGTGGCCCCTTAAATTTTCCAGTTTTAAACATAAATTATACTCGCATTTTAATTCTATGAGTGCCATTTCCGGCCACTTTGAGGTACCGGATCAAAAAGGGGCCCCAGTCTCAGAAAGCCACAGGGCCCGGGTATCGTTAGGCCACTACCTGTGTAGTGCCCAATCACCACCAGAAGGACCTCACTGGAAACAAGTATTCTTCCGAATATTGTTGGTTATCATTGGTGTTTACACAGAATATATTCATCTACCAAAGGGACAGATATAGAAAAAGAATTTTGTTTAGAAATGGTGGAGACCACAGACATTAAAAAAATAGCTTGTTTTGGAGTAGGCCTAGAGTGACGTCATGCTCCCTTCTTTCTGGTCTTTCTTCTCTCTTTCTTCTTTTTTTTGGGGGGGGGGGATAGACCCGTGTCTCCTGGACCCACCCTGAAACAATTGATTGAATGGTTGTTTGATAATGCTTATTTATATTGGCGAAGCTAATAAAATGCACGTGCATATGCATAGACCTAATATATATTATGTTGGACGCAAATATTCAAATTAAATATGTGTGTGCAAAATATTATTCACAAAAAAATTGTTGACCTTGTCTAATAATTAAAGTCTTTTCATCCTTAACACTTATCTGTAGGGGGATTACCCACCCTGGTGTCACTTCGTGAGCAAAAACATTTTACTGATGTGCATGGTGCTCCTAACATTGTTTCGGCCCGGGACCCACGACTCGTCGTTGCACCACTGGGCGGACCATGCCTATTAATGTTATAACAAATCAATCAGCCAATTAAATATATTATACAGCACGTAACATAACGGTACCATTGTTCATAGTTACAAGTATTTACAGTATATAGAATCATCAATAAATAGGAAAACACAAGATACTGTATTTGCCTTGGCCACCATGAAGTAAGAATGGGGCCCCTGGTCTATTCGGGGTTCATTTGGACTTGGAAGCATTTGCCGAGAAAGCACACAGGTATACATATCTGGTCAAACCTCCATAGCAAAATGATGGGTCATAGTTGGACTGACCCCTTTTAATAAATCTGCCTAAGAGTGTTTGTAGGATTTTGTTCTATTTGATTTTTTTTTTTAATTATAGAAAAAGTTACCGTATTGTCAAGGCGTTTTAGTAGAGTGATGGGCACCTTCCTCTCCACCCTGAGAGCTCATGAGCATTATGCAACTGGGTCCTGTTTATTTTTTATACGGTATGCCATAATTAGATTTACAGGACAATATATGAAAAACTATACAGTTTCAGATATGTACAGTATATCAGTGTATAAATTCCCTTTCCATTGACACCAATCATGACCATGCTTTATGTGGTACGTCAGCCCTCTTGAAATCCAAAATGGCGGCTGATGACGTTAGGAAAAAAATGGCACCTAACTTTTTTAAATTCAGTGCAATAAAAATGATAAAATTAGTAAATTCTATTTTTGCACAAAAATCTATCTAGACTACATAGAAACTGTACTAGTAACTTATATGGCCTACTCGTTCTTATTTTATGTACATTTTAAGTATATTTTGCGGTTATTTTAAAACAAATAAACACCTATTTTTGAATTATGTTCCATTCCGACAGTAATTTTTATATGACTAGTTTGTTGCCTGTCTAGAAATTATGAGTTTAGACACCAAAATCATATCTGTAGCTTATTTAGTTCCAATTTTATGCACATTTTAGATAAATTTGGCGACCATTTTGAAAAATGGCCGCCATTTGTATACAAGGCGTAAAATCAAGTGTCAACAGGGCTTAGGGTGACCAGAAGGGATTAATTAGGATATCTGGCTATGTGGATTGCTTCTA